ACTTTTAAAACCTCAAGAAAAATTAGATATAAGTTTGAATGCATTTATATTTTATTAGATTTATGTTTATATTATTTAATTAAGTATGCAATTTGTTGTCAATGCTTAAAGTATAAATATGATTTGCTTAAAAGTTGCGCATTTACAATACATTAAAGTACTTTGTTAAACAGAGTACTTTCTTAAGAAGTGGCCATTAAACTGTGCATTAAACTAAAACTTTGGTACTTAATGTTCAATAAATCATTTGGGAGCATTTTCTTAACATTCATTTGCATAGTTAAGCAGATGCAGCTGACTTATAAATAGGATCAGTGGCCACGCGTCGCATACGTAATCCGTTCGGGCCGCATTACGCATTACGCATTACGTATACGACAGCGGGCACAAATGAAGCCGTTAAATGGTTTTTTCTTTTAATTGAAGTCGCCTGCATGGCGCGTGTCTCGTTTCAGGTGACTCATCCGACCGCCCACAGCCAACAGACCATGTCAGTGGGGGGGGCAACGTGCCGCTAATGGTTGCATGCCACATATATTGACAGCGTAAACTAATCCCTTGGCAAATTGCAAGTAATAAACTAACATGCAGCCAAGTTGCAATGCCAACTGGAGACCTGCGCTAATGAGCCTCAGCAAACGTCGTTCACTTGGCAACGCGGCAACGTTGTGTGGCAGCATCCACGCCCTTTGACCTTGTCAGATGTCAAAGCTTAAGCCCCATTGTTGTGCACAGTGCCAAGGCCTGTCGCCTGTCAGCAGGAATTTGGCTTAAATTGCCAGGAAGCGCTCAGTACAGTACGTGGGCGTGGGCGGGCACGAGTCCCGTCCAAGTGCCAATGTTGTGTTACATTTTCAATTTCACAACAACTCAAGGCCCTGACGCAATCTAATGAAATGAAAAAACTTTCCCACAGCTCGAGTGCCTGTTAGGTGGGTGGCTGGATGGGTTGGCTGTCCTGGCGTTTGGCGTGTGGCAATTCCCGAATGCCATTGAAAGTGCACGCGCGTGTATAGAGATTTGCAGGGGTTCAACTTGTTGCAAGAGCTTAGTTGCACTCTGGCAAGGTTCGAGTTGATGACAGCTCGGGTCAGCCCCGAAAAGTTAACTAGAAATCTATTAAAACTTTATAACAAGATTTAAAAGAGTTGAATTGGATATATGTCTCAAGTAGTTTATATTTCATCTTAAACTTGAAGCTTACAATATTGTATAATTTAAGCTAAAGCTTAAATATCTTATAAAGATTAAAAATAAAGGGAGAAATTAAAAATGAGCTCGTGTTTTCATTAAATTTTCGCCTTACATTCTGTTATCTTCAGGTTAATCTGTTATCTTCAGTTTAAAAATGAACCCATTAAAATCTGGCAGGGATTAGACATTTTGCTTCAAAGTAAATACATGTCGAAGTCGATTAAATCTGCTGTAAGCGGCGTATAAAAAGTCTTTTGTTTTCAAATTCACAACTGCAACTGTTAAAAATAATTATTTTATAGTTTTCCTCTCCCACTTCTTTTTCAGCTTATAATTCCCAAACAGTTCGGTCGCAAGCACATGCTAAAAATCAGCCAAACTCATTGCCTCTGCGTGAGAGGATTTTATTTAAGGGCTTTCAGTCAGCATTCGATACACAATGATGGATGACACTTTGAGGTCGCCTGAATTCGGGGCCTGGTGGCAAAGTGCATGGTCAAACATGTGTTGAGCCAATCCCCTCTGTGGGGTTAGCTACTTTATTGTTTACTCGCATTCAAATTTTCAGATTTGCCTTGTTTGAGTGTGTTTGTTATGTGTAAGGGGCAGGGCGCATGCTCACCAAATTGAATTCGACCTCAAACTACCTCAATGTGATTGCGCTTGGCCCAAAACTCACAGCAGCAAATAAATCAGGCGCGTTTCTTGACCTTAGCTGTCAGCCGGGCACACAAATTGCAAATTAAACAAAACACCTGGGAACGCAGAGAACACATGTGAACACGCCCAGCCTGATGATTGGCTCACCTGTAAATGCCATTCGCGCTGCAGGGATGACATTGTTGTCCTTTGCGGTATGTTAGGCGCCTTCTCTGATGTATCTCTTGTTGCTCGCGTTGTTGTTGTTGTTGCTTGGGGCGTTGTTGTTGTGCACCGAAATGCATTGGTTTAGCTCGGTTGGGCCACCCACAAACAGCACAAAGGAGCACAGCGGCAGCAGCAGCGGCTGCACGGCCCACACCAAGTTGGCCCAATTTGTAAATGATATTGTTTAGCGCGCACACGGCGTATGCGTAATGCGTTGAGTTAATGCTTTGGCACTGAATTCTTGTACAGTTAATATAAATTTGATTTTATTTGTTTTAAATATATATTTATGTATGTTTTTTTTATTGTTGCTAAGGCTTTGCAGGAACTTGTGAGTCGCTTTGTAATGTGCTCTTATGTTATACTATTTGTTTCTTTTTTCTATGGCATTGGCGTCATTTTGTACAGCAGCTGCTTTTTTGCCAGTTGCCGTTTCCGCTTCCGCTGCTGCACACACACATACACACACTCACACACAGCCACTCACTTACACACACTCACAACAGAGCGCAGTGTCTCTTTGTGTTCAACAATTTCTGCTACAAATCGATACAAACATTTATTTTTTTGCACATTCCGATGAAATGTACTAAAATCAATATACAGTGCCTTTTAAAAATCTGTACACACACCATATATTGCTACTTCTCAATTAACTTCACAGCTGTGATTATAGCAGTTCGTATTTTTACACTTCTGCACACAGTTTTCAGCGAGTTGTCCACAACTTCTGCTTAATCTTATTCTCTTTGTGCCGTTCCAGCTGCTCTGTGTTGCGCCTGGCACAAGGTTTTGCGTTGTACTGCCAAACCGTATGTCCTTAGGCTGCCATTAAAGTCGAGCAAAAGTGCCAAACTCAACTTCAACACGAACTCAACTCGAGTGTTGAGATTGAGTTTGGCACAGTGGTGGAGAGAAAGCGCAGCTGAGAAACAATGAGAGCATTTGCGCTGCCAATCCATTTTGTTTTGCTCGGCATTTTTGGCCGCCTGTTGAACATTCCGCCTCTCTTCAGGCCGCCCCGGTCTCCACATTTTCATTATCCGTCGCGTTAGCTGTAATACGACGCTTCGTCTGAAGCGCAAAAAACAGATGCAAAACTAAGCACCACAAGCCTACGGCTAAAATAGTTGCAAAGTTTCGATTAGACAGATGATGAGACAAATGATTGTTAAATACATACATAAAATAAGTGCGATCAATATACCCCAATAACTATCTAGAAGTTTGCATATCACTATGCTATTGTTTAAAATACACAGGGGTAAACATACGAGCCAGGTTAACAGAAAATTAGGTACTGCCTGTAAAGGTATTTGATTTGTCCAGCGTTCGATATTATACATATATCCATTGTACTTGCCTTACCCTTATAGATCCTACAACGAGCAGCACGGACACAATAAAATTTGCTGTCGTGCACATAAAATATATCATATTTAAAAACAACTTGGTTTTCGCTATGAAATCCAGTATTTCGAGATACATGCAAAATATGGCGACTGTTATCGATATAATCCCAATGAGTATCGATATATATTTGAATTTTGATATACTACTTGACATGCTTAGAAAAATGTTATGTGACACAAAAAATTTAGTTACTCAGGTTTCAGCATTCTGAACAGCAGCACCACCACAACGACACCCACGACGTTTATAACTAATTGAAATGTATATCATTTTATTTATATATATATTTATATCTTAACTCTCAAAATACAGTCATACTCACCTATGCCGATCATCAGAGTGGTTACTTTGCTAGTTATTGACCCAATGGCATAATTAAATAATACAGCATGCAGTATTATGGCCGCAAATATCATAGCCAGCCAGGGCACAAAATACCATATATTTTTCTACATATATAAAGGCAAAAAATTTGTATTGGTACAGTCATGTCTGGATATATGGCTTACCTTTTTTACGCCAAAAATAAGCAACATCGCTGACAAAGCATAAATAATGCTAGTTATTATCAATGCGATTCTTGTTGCCGCAGTCCAATAGGGCTTTTCAATAAAGAAGTCCACTATGCAAGCAACGATAATAGCAATAGATACTAGGATATTTACGCAGCCAATGGTTATAGTTAAAGATGAATATATTTTCATCAATTTATTGCTATCAGGCATGTTATTTGCGATTAACTTTTCCTACCTTAAGCTTAGTATGTCTATTATGACTTTGTTTATAAAAAGTTTACGTAGAAAACTTATAAAACCTTATAAATATATAACAATAGTTACATTTAAGTACTGTTAATGCAATAGACAACCGTTAACTTTAAACGCTTATCAACACTAATGGCAATTTCAATTGAGTTCCAATGTGCATTTCAAGAATCTTTGATTTTTAGTCTGTACGGAGGAGACGATTGCATGCAACACCATGCCCATTAGGATGAGCAAGAAGAAACCAACGACTTTTCTAGATGGAAATATAATATATCTTAATGGTACAGCTATGGCAAAGGCAATCGCTTACCAGCAGGACTCCGGGTATATTCTGGCCAGTACTATCAAGGCCAGAACAGACATATGGAATTCTCAGATGGTGTATCCTCAAAGGTGATACAAATGGCCGCTACGTTTCCGCTGCAGCCAATGGTTGGTAGTTAAATATTTAAATAACTGTCTAAATGTAGAAAACTTCAAAATGCCAGGCATGTTGCTTTGTTGAAAAATAATTAATTTGTAATATTAGAACTTCGTCAGTCGTGCTTGTTTTGCCCTTACCAATACGCTTGCCATTTTTAGCTCACATACACAACACACAGACGCTGACGTGGGCCATTATTTTAGTCGAGGTACATAGTTCGCCTAGCTTTTAAGAGAAAAGTTTACTAATACATGCGCGCTTCCATCAATACATAATTCTAGAAAAGTTTACTAATACATGCGCGCTTCCATCAATACATAATTCTACTTTACAAGTGTTTTTTGTTGTCTTTATTTGTATATATTTGATTTGGATGTTGTCGTAAAAGTCTTGAAAAGGCAGCAAGTGCAGCGCCAGTTAATGACTTCAGCTTTTGCAGCCTGGGCGTCCGCTTCTGCTCTCCTGTTGTGTTCAGTTCTTCGACAATCTATACATCCCTCATCTGAGCCTTAAAACTGTATTTACAAGCTATTCGATATCGTTGTCGTCTTAGCCGGAACATCCACGACAGCCGCAGTGCACGCATTCCACAATGCGTCCCTCCTCCAGCTTGGATTTGGGCACGCGACAGATGCAATTTGTGCCAAAATTCGTGTCACGCGTTTGTATACAACGCAGGCAGCAAAGATTCTCATAGCCAGACTTTTTCCACTTGGCTATCAAATTACCATCGGCGATCTTTTCCTTCAGGCAATAGTCGTACAGCTCCCGACTGATGGCCTTGCGACGATAGTACAGATCGTAGATATAGCGCGTCTTCTGGTGATGTATCTTAAAGATGGGCCACAATGATTCCGTAATTCGCTTGCCTTCGTGCGGTTCGGTTTCGGCTTCGCGCATTTTCTGCTCCAGTTCTTCCAGCGTCGGTTCAATTAGCTCCCAGCCATCTGGCGGGGGCTTACGACTGCGACGCACTTTTGGCATTTTTTAAATTATTATAAATTCCCAAATTTGCGGTTTTAGGAAATAAATATAATAAAAATATGCTTGTTGCCTACGCACAAAAACTAAATAAAACAAAATAAAGTGTGGCAACACTGCTAGTGCTGAATACATTGAAAAAGGTTGCTCATATGCAAGTATACAAATTGTGGACCTGTGACGTCACGCAGTGAAATTAATAATCGAATAAAACGAGTTGTTTTAAGCCAGTATTCAATATAGCTGCAAGTACTCCAAAACTTGGATTTGGGAAAAGCATTCAATCAATGTTGGCGTATGTGAAAATCCTTATCGTTCAGTTGACGTCATATTTCATGTACTCCTCGCACTACCTCTTACATTTTGTGGCCACATCATTTTGTGCTGCCCATCGCTGGAGTCTGAAGCAAGTTGGCAGCTTGGCTGCAACATAAGCAAACAGCTGTTCGGCAACTTCTCAACAAGAACATTTTAAAATAAACAACATAATTTAATGACAATAACAATGTGCGACGTTTAAAATATTGCACATAAGTCAACGAAACAATATTCGCGCACAATGGATCCCATAATATTCTTTATTGTGCTGGCGTCCTTATATGGCGTCATGTACTTTTTCGATCGCTTCTTCAAGGTGTGTTTTGTGCATATCAAATACAGTTTTTTACATTTTTAAAATGATATTATTAAATATAGAGCTGCATGCACTATCCATACGATGCCTTTCTACGCAACACCGGACTGAGCGTTAACTTTATGACCCTCCATTGGCATTCAAATGCCAGCGCCTTCAATCGCATGCTCATTCGCTGGGGCGCCACCGCCGGCAACAGCTGCACGCGCAGTTTTCTAGTCAAGAGCTTTAACATGGGCGTGCTGCTCTCCTTTCTGCTGCTGCCCATTGGGATTATACTGCTGATCATTACCATATTTAATGGCAGCGAGACTGGAACGTCCGGTGGTGCAGCGGCTGCTACAGCTACCGTGCAGCTGGAGATATTGCTGCCGGGTGTTAATCTGCCACTGCAGGAGATTGGCTATTATATAGCCACATTGGTGATGTGCACGCTGCTGCATGAGCTGGGCCATGCGCTAGCCGCTGTGCTGGAGGATGTGCCCGTGACCGGCTTCGGTTTCAAGGTGAGCCAGGCTAGACATGACAGACGCAGACTTGCTAATAATATGAGTTTAACTGCCGTAGCTCTACTTCTGCCTGCCCTTGGCCTACACGGAGCTCTCGCACGATCATCTTAATGGCTTGCGCTGGTTTCGCAAGCTGCGCATACTCTGCGCCGGCATTTGGAATAATTTCGTGTTCGCCTGCGTTTGCTATATGCTCATCTCAACGCTGGACATGACCATGTCACCCTTTTATGCATGCAACGAACATGTGATCGTAACCGAGCTGATGGCCAAGTCGCCGTTGCGCGGCGAGCGTGGCCTACAGCTGGAGAATGTGATCACCCAGCTGAATGACTGTCCCATCAGCAGCGAGGATAGCTGGCTAAGCTGCCTGCGGCAGGCGCAGCAGCTGCGCCTGGGCTACTGCATCAGCTCGGATTTTATACGGCTCAACGACGAAAGCATCGACATTGCTCATCACAATGCCGATGGCCGGCTGCAGTGCTGCGACGAGCGCAATCCCAATGTCAGCTGCTTTGAGTACATTGAGGATGTGAGCGTGGATGCGCCCGCAGAGATACCGCAGCACGTTTGCCTGCCCATGCGTCGCACTCTGGAGGATTCGAGCGGGTATTGCAAGGCGGGCACATGCACTGAGGGCTACTGTCTGCGCCCCATGCTGCCCAACACAACGAGCATTTTGATCTTTAAGCGTCAGACTAGGGAGCGACAGCCACTGGCGCCAGTCATGTATGTGGGCCAGGCGCGGGACGTGCTGCGCACGGTGCGTGTGTCGGGCTTTGTGCCGCGCTACAAACACATTAGCTCCGCTTGGCCGGATGCCCTATCGCTGCTGCTCCGATACAATGTGGTATTTAGCATTGGCCTAGCGCTGATCAATGCCATACCCTGCTTTGGCTTCGATGGCGCACACATAACCAGCACTGTGATACACAGTTTTCTGGTGGGACGCGTTGAGGAGCATGCGAAACGGGATCTCATCTCGTTGATCATCACCAGCGTTGGCTCGCTGCTCTTTGGCCTGGCGCTGCTGAAGGTCGCCTGGCTGAGTTTACTGCGCCCGCTGCTCTAATCTCGCCCATCCTCCACTGTCCTCTACTCTAGTTAACATGTACCAAAATGCTAGACTGCTTTTCTCGACACTCACACACACACACACAAACATACAGACTTGCTGAACAGCGAATTGTAGGCACCTCAAAGGTTTTTGTTTTAAGCTTTATTATTTATGTACGTATTTATATGGCATTAGCCAAGTTTGTGAAGCTCAAATAAAATTTACAGGCATTTTCCTCACTTGCCGCCGCTCTTGGCGCTCGTTCCACTTAGTTCCAGGCTGGTCTGCAGCTCCGTTAAGCTGCGTCTGCCGCCCTGCAGCAGCATCTTGATGGCCACCTCGTCGTTCTGGTTGCGATTCGTCTGGAAGTCGTGTCGCGCCCATTCGCGCAGCTCGCGCCGACTGTGCTGGTCCGGCACCAGGCGTGTGGTGCGCCAAATTTCCCTGTACAGCTTTAGCACCTCCTGGCGCAGCATGAACTGTGGGGAAGAGGCTGTTTCTTGAGTGGCACACAAGTTTAGCTGCTGGCTGTCGCTTACCTGCTTTAAGCTGAGCGCTACTTTGGGTAATTTGGACATTATGACATATTTCACAATGCGATTATTTATAATAATTGCAAATTGTTTAATATTTCTTTCGTATTTTTATTTGACTTGCGTTCTGCTATTCGCGTTTACTTTAAACAGCTGATTGAGAACAGCTGCTTTTTGTTTTGCTCACAGCTGACTCTCTTTTCAGTTAAGAGCATGCGCTCTTACGACTTATTAAGCGAGACATTCGCCGCAGAAAGCAAAAATAAAATAAATATCAATGTATAAATATATGAAAAATGAAAACAAGTTACAACTTGGAAATAATAATATGTAATGTCATGTATATTTTTAAAATAATCACAATAAATATTTAAGTTTCATCTTTGTTTAAGGCACTTTATACTTATAACACTTAACGAATTTCGTGTTTTAAATGTATTATTTACGTATATTTGTTAATTTTCTCTTGCTTTTACTTATTAATATGCACGATGACTAAAAAGATGATTTTATTTAATTAAAAAAAAAGGATTCTCACAATTGACCCCGACGTGATTTGAACACGCAACCTTCTGATCTGGAGTCAGACGCGCTACCGTTGCGCCACGGAGTCACATGAAATGATCTTGACTAAATGTCAACATGAACTGTTTATACTATGAAACGACCGTTTAATCTAGGCGAAAATGATTAACTGAACCCAAAATAGAAAAAGAAAAATAATAAATAAATAAAGACAAACAACAAAACGAAAACGAAAACGAAAACAAGGAAAATTCGTGATTTTATAATTTCTTTGACATAGACTAAAACCCATCAAATATTTAAATGCAATTTTCAACGGCTGTCACGAAATGCGTTAGTCAGCTTATATAATATGCATTGAATGAGCATTTAATTTGGCACTTGAAACGCAAAGTCAAACATATTTAATCAAATGAAATTGTTTAAATGCTTAATTTATCTTTTGCTTGCATTGTTTTGCCTGCGCCCATTGTGATTGACACGGCAGCTGCTTTGAATTATTTTTATGCTTATGATCTCGGCTGTTTCTGTTGATTATAATGATGTCCTATTTGAACAAATCATTTAGTTTAGTTTAGTTTTTTTTTTGTTATTAATGCTGGCCAATGATGATGCATGCACAAGAACAGACGACCAGCCAAGTTAGCTAAGTGGACTGTGTCTTGGCCCATTTATGTTCTGTTCTTCGCCAGTTCCAGGCACCATGACTTTAAGGGCGACGACTGGCACCGTTTGCAGTAGCTCCCGCATATATGTATGTGTATATAATATATATATTAAATAGTTGCTAATACCTCTATGTCTTGCACTATTGTTGCCTATCGCCACAGGGCACAATTGCCAGCTGTTTTTTTCTTCTTGCAATGCCATAAACCTGTCCCGTTACCAATATTGGCTGCAATAGCTGCTGACACGGTCCTAAGGTACAAAGTGCCAGCAATTAATAGGGAATGCACAGTTTTTGGCTATATAGATAATTGTTAATCACAGCTACTAACCATTTGGCAATTAAACTCTCTTTCTTTGTTGTCTAGTTTAAACACTTTATCAACAAATTTTTGTACATTTTCTTAACTATTTTAAAACTGGAAACCTCTTGTGAACAATTTTTTATCTAATCATTAAGTATTCAATTGTTAAGATTATTCTTATTCTATTATTATTCTTATAAACTAGAAATTTAATAAATATAATATTAGATTGGACTTGTGCATTTTTCAAATTACTCGAAATTCTGCCCTATTCATTTAAAATTCGGATACGCTTCTATTGCGCTGTTTGTTCAAGTGCGTTTATCGCAGTGCATTTACGGAAAATGTTGAATAAATTAAAGGAAATTAGACATAACACAATAATAAATTTTCACAAAGAAACAACAAAAGCAACAAATATATTTATATAAATATATATCTATGCACATATGATTCGAGCAGGTAAGCGGCCAGCAGCCATACGATGCACGATTTATTTATAGCTGCGAGTTGCATCCACCACAATATGAAAATATGCAACAGAGCTGAGAGTTTGAGAGACACAGAGCGGCAGCAGAGATGATAAAGAATTAAACTGAGACAGTTTTCGTTTTCGATTTCGTTTTCATGAGACGGAAAATTCTGCTTAGCCGCCTCAGCGCGCAACTTTGACTCATCCAAAGGTGGGTGCTAGGGGGGAAAGTGGGCGGAAGGGGGCTGGGGGCGCTCCACAGCCAATACGTCATCAACAGCAGCCACTCGGACTGGGGAGTCGTCGTTGGGGGACCCACAGCTGCGCGCATACGCAGCAGAGGCCAACAGAACATCGAAGCAGCGCGCTGGCAGCAGCTGTGCAGCAATGCACAGTGGAACCATTTCATTATACATGGATCATTTTCATAAGCTTCTACATTTGAAATTCAGTGACGATTAGCCGTAATATATTATTGGGTAAAATTAACAAAATAAATATAGGCCAATATTAATATGTTTAAAGAAGTTTAAAAGAATTTTAGTTAAGCTGGCTGGAGGTCCGGCTAATCTTAAATTTATAAAATGAAAAAAAAGGCATTAAGTTATAAAGAATTTATTCTTTTTTAAGTTAAGAACATCAAATGATCTCCTGTTATGCTTTAAAGAAAAATAGCTTTGAGTTCAATTTATTATTATTATTATTGTTTTATTTTTGCATGGTATTATTTTTGAAGAATTAATTTGCTCCGTTTTCACATATATATATATTATTTTTAAAAACATTTATTTTTTTTATAAACAATACGATTATTATTAAAATGTTTATTTCAAATATTTCAAGAACTAATGTTGAATTAAAATATATATTTCACGAAAAGACTATTTTATTCATTATTGTATTCCATTTTCAATATAAGTATGTAGATTTTCTCTAGAAACATTTTATTTCTATTAAAATTTAATATGTACCACTCTTATTTATAACATTGCGACACATTAAAAATGTCTTTAATATCCAATTTAATCCGTTTATCGCACATAAGCAATAATTGTAATTTGTGCACACCGAAAACAAGCAGCTTGTCCCACTGTGCGGCAAAGCCAACGGCGGCAAAGTAAAATCCACATGGCAGTGGCCGCCAACGTCAAACGTTCATGAAACGCGGCCGCATGCGGACGTCGGTCGGAGCGAACGCATAAATAAAAGGCAAAGGCGAGAGCGAGAGAATCGCCAAGAATCTGAAAATCGTTTTTCGAAAAGCAAAAATAAAGACCCAAAAGCTAAACACACTCAGAATTGAGTTCGTATTCGTATTCGATGTGCATGTGAAAAGTGAAAAGTGAAAATGAAAATGAGCATTGGGCATGGTTTTCCTTGACGTTCGGTTGTGGTGTTTGTTGTAAAGCGGAAAATCAAATCAAAAATCCAAAAAAAATATATATATATATATACATAAATATATATACGAAAAAGAAAGGCAATTGTGAGTGAGAAACGTCCGTATACAAATATACATAATGTCGAAAATATATAGCTATTTTTGGAATATACTATATTGGACAGGCGCTGCATTGGAAATTTTTTTCAATTAGAATAAAATACATACTTAAGAAAAAATATTTCAAACATATATATTATAGATGTATATGCAATAAAGCACAATAAAATTGCAACTCCTTGGAATTGAAATACTTTTCAAGAAGAAGCAACGTTTTTTAAAAGCAAACAAAGCCCATAATAAAAACGATGCGACGCAAATTGAAATGTTTTCAGAAAAATAATGAAAGAAAACAGAAAAAGCAAATAAAAACGGAAATTTAATAAAGATCAACAAAAGAAACACACATAAAAACGAATGTACATAAAATTCAGCCTCTTCAATAAACAAATGTGTAAATTATATTTAAAAAAAAAAACATATATGGTGTGAACATTTTAAAATGAAACCAAATGAAATATAAGCTTAGGGATAGGGAAGATGATTTATATAGTTAAGAATGAGAAATTGAATTTTATGTATGGATATAGCTTGATAACTAGATTAAAGATTTGTTATAGTCTACATAAAGTCATAAAAAACGGTGATATATAAATTGTATTTTTCTGATTTATGTTAACAGAGCTAAAATTGCATATAAATTAATTTAACAAGCTTTTAATTATTTGTTATTTAAAATTCATTTTGTTGGATTTTGATTCTGATACATTCAAGTGTTTCTATCATGTTACTTAAGATATTTTGTACTATAGTTAACTAATCAGAAAAACGCTTTTAAACTTTGTACATTGCCACGTTCAGATATATTCCAGTACAACTAAACATATAGTCAAATCTTTTCGATTTCTTATGTTTTTCTCATGCTGATGATATCATGAGAAAATTATTTTCAATTCTTGTTGTTAACTGATCTAAAGATGCTTTCAAGCTTTGTATTATGCTTGGTTCGGATATATGTCAATGCAGTTTAACAGCTAGTCAAATCTTTTTGATTTTCTAGTTTCAAGTTTTTTCCAAAATTCCCAAAGCAAGTGAAGTGCGCGCTGAAAATTGTGTTTGGTTTATGCTGAACGCAAAGTTAATGCTACATGCCACAAAATCCACTTGGCCTCTTGTTGTGGATTTGTTATTGAAAAATTGTATTTTTGTATTTGTGTATTTGTGTGCGTATGTATTTGTATTCCGCTGTGTTATGCGATAGGTGGTAACGTTTCGTATAGGGTATTAAATTACAAGACACCAAAGTGCGCGCGAACCGAACACGCTCACAGGCATACAGCTACATCTACAGCTACGGCTACAGCTACAGCTACAGATACGGATACAGATACGGATACAGCTACGGATACGGCTATGTGTGTGTACGAGGCGCAGATACAGATACACGTTGGGTATATAAATACTCGCCGCCGCCGCCGTCTGCTTGCGTGCGTATCCAATGGATGCGAAACAATATGCAAAGCATAGATACAAACATACAACAGCAGAAGCGGCATGCTAGGCGCTTTCTGAAAATTAAGAAGACGCTGTAATTAATTATGGCCCAAAAAACTAAGAAAAAAATGAGAAAAAGGGGGCGGCATTTGTGGGCGTGTTCAGGTCATAATATGAGCAGATGCAACCCATTCAATGATTGATCGCCAACTTCGAAATGAGAAAATCTTCAAAGAAAAAACAGTCTATAAGAAATGCCATAATTTCAACTATTATTACAGATGAGACTTCTATCTTTGGCATTATGCGAATAAATTTGAGATATTATTTTTAGCAATTATACAAATTTGAAAGTAGTTCTTAAGTGTCTTAAATGGCCTGACATACAGCACATTTAAGCATACACATTTTTATACTTTTAAAGATCTAAGCTATATCCAAACATAAAGCATGGAATTCACTTCAGCAACATAAGCAGAAACTCTAAACAAATGTTGTCTATAGAGTCTAAGGAGTTCGAAGAGGCTCAAGAGTCGAGTCTCGAGAGTCGAGCTTGTTCAGCAGATAGTTTTACTTTCATAAATCTATCAGATACATTTCTATGCTATAGAAATACTGTAACTCGCAAGCAATACGCTTTCAATTGAGTTAACTAATTGAGATGTTTAGCTGACAATCGCGTTAACTAATTCAGATGTTTAACTCGTCATTTCTCGCGTGTTTCAGTTAGCCAGCCTGTTGAGTCCGGTTAACACTACAAACGGCCCAGTTAACAATGTCGGCCAAAACGTCACCGTCCAATTCGCGGGATGGCAATGTGACGGCTGCTGCCAGCGTTGTGCCACCAAATGTGGCAAGCGGCGTTGTTCAGATCAAAAAGGAGCTGCCCAGCGACGAGATAAAGGTACGTTTCATGAATGAAAACAAACTCACAGATACACAGGCACACACATACACACACACACACACACAGAGATATAGATACACAGTTGCAGATACAAATAAATCTCGCGTAATTTTCACCTTAATTTTTGGCACATAGCAAGACAACAACTAAAAAAGAAAACACATTTATAATTAATTACTTCTGTCTGCACATCGTTTTTAAATAGTATTCAATAACAAGGATGCAAAAACTAAATGAAAACAACAACAAAAATAACACACACACAACACGCATTAAAAAGAAGGAAAAAAATTGTTTAAACTTTTCATAGCGCAACAAATTTATATTTCTTTCGGTCTTTTTTCTATATTTTTGGCTGCAGTTGAAAATTTGTGCTTTCCGAGCAATTTATTATTGGTTATTTATGGTTTATTTTTGAAATTTTTTTTGATGCTATTTGGAAAGGTGAATAACACACGGATTTTGTGATTATATTTAAAAAGATATTCTTTGATTAAAAGTCACAAAGCTAAAGATTAAAAGGGTTTATTAAAAGTTATTTAAGCATTTGATTCAAATTTGTGGCATATGCAAAAGTGTTTCACTTCTGTTTGTTTTAATTGTGTTTTATTTCGCTTTGTTTCAATGGTGATCCATTTCCATTTGTTCCAAATGTGATTCATTTCCATTCATTCCACTCCAATATTTGACATGGATTCAATCCCAACTATTTAAGTTATGTGCAACAGTGTATCGCGCAGCTGTGAGCTTTCTACTGCACTCTTCCTACTGGCTGGCTATACCGGAACGTTCGGAAAACGACCCCGTATTGCCGTAATTGCCAACAAAACAAAATGGAATTGAACACGTTGCAACCAGGTTGTATATGAATAACTTATTGAAGGTTATGCATGATTTATCGTTTATGTACTAAATGTCAAGTAAATTTTTCAAAATTTCAAAGGCCATTTATGTCTATTAATACCAATAAAGCTGCATATTTGTATCCTACATACAATTCAGTCCTTTAAATTCTAAACAGAAATTCCAACAAGTATAAACCAAAAAATTGTGCATCATTAGTTTAGAATTACCGCAAACATGAAAACAAATACATACATACAATCTAACACACAAACTTTTCCTGTTAAATAAAAAAAGAAGCAGACAAAAATGCATAATCTGAATCCCCTGAAAGGTAGAAACTGAACCAAATGTTCAGTTTCAATTACAATTTCCTTGGTGATGCACAGCATTTCGAAATTTCAAATATGCAACTGCCATGAAAAGTTCTCTCCCTCTCTCTCTGCCTCTGACTCTTGCTCTGTTGTTGTTCTAAGCCTGCTCTCGCACTGCCCGCTTTGACCATTAGCTTGGCTGGTTTTGCATTACCATAACAAAAATTCACAATAACTGTGCTTCGCTTAGATCCTGGGCCTGCAATTGGTTGTAGGAGCGCAGAGCATTTGTAAAAGGAGTTGGCAACTCAGACAGCAGCAGCGCTTGCGTCGCTGTTGGCGTCGACGTTGGCGTTGGCGTCAGCGTCGAAGTCTAGCAATTACGATTACGCCAACATTGTGCGAGTTAACTGTAAACCGAAGCAGCGTTGGTAATTTTATATTGATAAATTTTTATAATCATTTTAACGAGTGAGTGAACGAGTGCCACACTCTGTGTGTGCGTGTGAGTGAGTGAGTGAGTGTGTGTGTGTGTGTGTGTGTGTGCGCGCGCTGTGAGTGGGTTGCAAATAGAAGCAGACTGCCTGCCTCTGCTTCGCATTGAGTCTGAGTGTCTCTTCTTACCTCGCTGCCCGCTAGCCCGTTACCGCTACCCGCACTCCCCACACTCTTTAATATCTTGCGCTGTGTGGTGAGTTTTTCGCCAAATGAGCAAAATTAATTTAATGCCAGAGACCCGCGAGAATGACAACAACAACAACAACAATAACAGCAACGTTGACGGCGGTCGCACAACATTTTTTTGTAGCTATTCTTGTTGTTGTTGTTGTTGTTGTTGCACGTGTAATCGGATCGGTAAATTGAAATTGTAGCCGCTGGCTTGCAGTTGAGCGCAATGATATTATTAAACAGAAAAATTATTATAATGAATGGAGCTGCGTTGGGATTGGGTTCGGGTTTTTTTCTTCTCTTCTCTTATTTTTTTTTTGTTTTTTTTTTTTGGCATGAGCTTTAGCTCTGGTCTTTGGTTATAAATTCGCCTCGTCTGAGTCGGCAACTTTGCTTAAATGGCGAGAAAGTGGGCGTTTCAGGGAATTAGCTCCTATGCCTCAATTTCCATATAAAATGTGTGTGTACATAACACAAATTGGGACATAATTAAGTTAAAGTAAACCCTATTGGAGTTATTTAAAAATGTGTTCTGATTTGATGTTTAAAATAATTTTTTTTGAAAATTAAAAATAAAAATCACTTTATTATTATTGTTATTATTGTTAAAAATTATTTTATTTGTATTAATAAGATTTATAATTATTATTTTAATTTTATTTTAATTTTTTTTTAAATTAATATTTTATTGTTAATTAATCAATCAGAAATATATATGTATATACTTATATAGAATATGTTATCGAACTTTGGGAAAATTAAGAAATACTCACATAGAATCTTTTATTCCGATATATATGTACATATATGTATATTGATTTGTATATAAATTCATATGTTTGCATAAAAATTGTATAATGTAGCATACAGTAAGTTATATTGAACTATACTAGGCTTGGGTATTTCGCATTGGATATATTGGACATTGAAACAGATATTATTCCGTGTCTATGTTATAATTTCTCAAATGCCGACACATAAACATTTGCTTCATAAGCGTATCATGTTCATGGATTAATAACCCATTATACCCCATCAACCCCTAATTGCCGACCCACAAAGTATGCAACACTTTCTGTATTTTAGACAACAAAAAAACTCAATTAAAAATATGAAAATTTAGCTGTTTTTTAACCTGGCTCAATGGCCGTGTCGTAATTACAAGCTGCATTTGCTGCAAAGACAGCGGCAAAATATGTAATGGAGTGAAAGAAGAAGCAATAACAGACAACATAATTACAACCCGCCAATAACAACGAACAACAAACAACAACAACAGCAGCAACAACAACAACAACAGCAACAACACGCACAACATTAACGCGCCTCATGGGTGCAATTCGATAGGTCTGTGGTAAGACGATACGCTTCAAGGTTTCCGCTTTATGACAGCGTCGCGTCGTCGCTCCAAAACCCAACCCGAGCCGAACCGAGCCTAGCCAAACGCCGTGTCTCAAAAGGATGTGCACAGCGCAAAGGACACGCACTGCAAATATACACGTGGGGCGTTTCACTCAGTTTCTAAGCCTAATAATATTGTTAATAATTTGCTACAACTTACAATTAAAGCCTCTAAATGTTGTCTTACGCTTCAAATTTGTATTGCAACTCAATCAGTTTGGGCCCACTGTAAGCACAGCAACTGCAGTAACTGCCCTCGCTTGATAACAATTTTGGCGCATTTATATAGATTGCGTATATGAAATAAATAACTGTAAGTGGGCGTAAGAAATGATATTGACAAATACAAGAGTTGTTATGCCAGACACAGTACGCATTAAGGTCACACGAAAGTATAATAAAAAGTTCATAAACGAAAGGTTATATGGTCTTAAGATATTTATAAAAAAATATTCCTGCACTACCCAATTCCAACAAACTCTCAAAACACAAACATATTTCTAGCTGAACGCATTTTTGTCACAGCCAAACATTTCAACTTGATTTCGCATTTAAAGTTTAATTTGAATATTTTTTTTTAATATTTGTTTTATTTGTTTTGCCGAGAATCAGCCAGAAATTTAGGCTATAGTATAGTTTGAATATAGTTTAAAAATAATATAATTTAAAAAAATCGTTTTTAACTTTCTTTGAGCTAAGGCTTCGCCCAGCTTAGGTTTTTTTTATTCAAGTTTCATGTATTCCTTTCCACACACGACATGTTTCTGTTTCACCTTGCACCTTTAATTCCACTCAGTGCAGTGGATTTTCCGCAATCGGTGAATCGCCTAAAAATCCCATTTTGAGGTAAAATGTTCAGTTAAATGAACTTTTAAAATGACAAAACCCTTAAAATATAGACAGAGCACAAACATTTCTAGATAACTCAGCTTAAAATCTTCGCTTGTTTTGCTTTTCGAATTTACAATTATAAACGAAGTAAATCAAAATCATTTCGATAATAAGATAGTATTTTGTGTATAATTATATTTAACATAAAATTCTTAATTAATAATCATGCAAAGACATTCAGTTTAGGGGAGTTAAGGGGCAATCTAGGCAACCTCCAGCTATTTACTTACACCCACGCGCACATTCATATCCTAGTTATAAACTTCTGCATACACACATACAAGCTCGCACAGGACAGGGATATTATATTACAAACACAATGACAACGCACTGGCCTAGCAGCTACTCAGGGACAACAGCAACAACAGCCCGCCGACACGCCCCCAGCCCGCCCACACCATTCCCCTCCCCCGGCATGTTAGAGCGTAGAAGAGGTTCAGGACGGAGGGGGGGGGGGGTGGTCTTAGGCACAGTCATAGCTCAAATGACGCGGCAGCAGCAGAACTTTAATAACAGCGTCGCAGATTAAATTACAAACAAAATGGAATATGATAAAATCTATGCGAAAACACCAGCAAATGCAGTTGGCAACACATGCACACACACACACACACACACACACAATATGAAGTGTGCGAGAGAGCGGGCGTAACATGAGGCACCCTGTGGAGGCAGCATCAGTCTGACAGCTCCTACTACACAGGTGGCGCAGGCGTGCAACGTTAGTTAGAGCGAAATAGCAACAGCTCAAATTAAAATAACGTTAAATTAATTTGAGCCACTGAGTGGGCGGCATTATGTGCCGCAGTGTGAGTGAAGGGCACGGAATGTTGTAACTCCATCATGCTGTGACCTGCTCTGAGCTGCCGTTGACTCTGA